CCCTCTGGAATTTTGCCTAGGGGGTGGCTGTGGGCAACAGGGCCCCAATTGCTGTTGGGTAACAATCTTGAATAACCCAAGAGGAAAAGAAATAGTGACAATGCTTAGCTCTAGGCCCATACCCCTCAGGGTGGATTTTGATCTGTTTACATCTATACATAGCCTCGACTGATGGATTTTGCTAATGAAAATTTAAAAGCAGATTTTCTCATCCCAGGGCATGGCATGTAGAGGAACAAACTTCTGGAGAAACGCAACTGTTTAATACACAGAAGTAGAGTTGACCAGCTTGGCATCCTTATGCAATAAGATTGTGTTAACAATTGTACATCATTAGCAAAACAGAAGGAAAAAAACAACCAAGAAGGTAAATCTTATATTTTTTTTCTAAGAAGAACCATTTCTTGGTAGAAAGCAGCAAAAGGGAGTTGTATTATTTCTCTCTGTATAGTAGATAAACATGCAGGCTTGGTAGCCACACTGGCTGACTTCACATTCTGACTTAGCCTTGGGCTATTTAATCTTCCCAGGCTTCCCTTCTCATGGGTAGGATGGGGCTCAGGATACTGCCTATCCCTCAGGGATGGTATGTAAGGGCTAAATAATGTACATGTAAAGTGCTTAAACTGTGTGTGGCACTTACTGAGTCCTTACTAAGACTTAGCTCTTTTGTTACTGCTGGTTTTCAGGAAGTCAGCCAAAGTCAGTCACTGAGCAGTAATCTATTTGGCATCCTCAGAATCCTTGCTCAAGCCTTGGGACAGAATAACTTCCCTCTATTCTAATCTTACTAATAACACTATAGTACTTAAAAAATCTAGGTATTGTTATGCATTAACTTGGCATAAGGTACCATATGTATTAATTTTCTAAGAATTTCTTACGCATTTGTTCTTTAGAGGATCGGGCCCTGTGTTCATGTGATAAATTTTCTGTGTAACTAATACAAATCCAGAATGGTTAGGAACTCAGGAACAAGGATTCAAGGCCTCCAACAGCTGCTGATATAATAAACTGGTTTGGTCTCAAAATTGACTCTGAAAACATTAAATAGATATATTTTCTTGCATATAGTTCATAGTTTATCATTACTCAGAAATATTCATTATTAACTATACATTTATAAAAATACAAAAATATTTGTTGAGCATTGGGGTAGTAGAATTTAAACAAGGCCCAGAGTCAACAACAGCTATAAATTTTCCTCTAAAATATGTTGTAGTTAAGTCACGTGTATTTTGACATGTATTTTCATTTGATTCTAAGTAACTGAATTGTTTTTATTATTTTCAGCAGTCTGATTTTGATGTGGCTAATATGGGATTCTTTGAGTTTATCTGTTTGGGATTCATTGAGTTTCTAGAAAATATAAGTTTACGTCTTTTGCCCAATTTGGAGAGTTAGCAGCCATTATGTCTTAAAATATTTTTATGTACTACACTGTTTCTTCTCTCATGCTAGGGCTTTGAAGACATGAATATTAGACATTTTCATAGTTTCACATAGTTTCCTGATAGTCTATTAATTTTTTCTTCAATCTTCATTGTGTTGTACAGATTGGATAATTTCTATTCATCAGTCCTCAAATTCAATGATTCTTATCCTTTGACATCTCTATGCTGCTTACTGAGACTATTTAGTGAATTTTAAAATTTTTGGTTATAGAACTGTATTTTTCCCTCCTAAAATCTCCATTTGACCCCTTTTTATATCTTTTATTTCTCTGCCAAGACTATCTTTCCATTTGTTTCAAAGGGGTTCCCTCTTATTTGTTGAAGCATGATTATAACGGTTACCTTAAGTCTTTGTCTGATAATCCCAAATCTTTGTTATCTCAGTATTGATATCTGTTAATTGTCTTTTTTTTTTTAAATCCTCATTGGAGGACATTTTTTTCTTTCATTGCTTTTTAGAGAGAGAGGATGGGAGAGAAAGAAACAATGATGTGAGAGAGAAACATCTGTTGGTTGCCTCCTGTACATGCCCGGACCGGGGACCACATGCAGCCGGACCAGGGGTTGCACATGCTAGGACTGGAGACCAAAACCACAGTCTAGGTACGTGCCCTGACTGGGAATTGAACCTGCAACCTTTCAGTTATGGGATGCTGCTCCAACCAACTGAGCCACACCGCCAGGGCTTAATTATCTTTTTCTTTATAAGATATTGATTTTGGGGGGGAGCTCTTCAAATGTCAAGAAATTTTAGAATGCATCTGGGACATTTGAGTGTTATGTTATGTGATTTTATGTCATATGACCATGGAGAGTCTGGTACTGGTCTTCATGAGCCTCTCAGTTATGCTTAGATATCTAAGAATTATTTCCTGACTTTGAATTCTTCCATATAGAGTTGCTTATATTTTACCAGTTCTGCTTTAGTAGTATCTTCATGGGGGATTTTTTATTAGGAGAGCTCAAATCCTAGATCTTGAGATCTAGGTCAATATGACTTCTTATGAATCATTGTTCTCTATTCTGCTTTTTTCTCATATTTCAACATATTAATCTGATTATTTATTTCAACCTGATAGGTTTTTTAGCTCTCCATGAAACTAAACTCTCCATTTTCAACATTAGTGAACTTCTTTCTTATCCTTTTTAAGAATTTCTTAAATAATAATTTTTTTCTAATTCACCATTTTTCTTGATAGAGTCAGTATGCTAGCATACATGTATTTTTTATTCTTAGCTGCATTTGCACCTAACAGGTTTTTCTGAAGCTGTTCAGTTCTGCTTTTTTGGACTGTGACTTTTAACCTGACATTTACAGCCTGAAGGAGTATAACTATCTTTGATGCAGAGGGGAAAAGGAGAAAGATGACTGGTGCATACTTTTGGTTTTGGAGTTTTCTTTCCCATTTCTCTCATCTTTTTCTCCTTTGTGGCTTTTTTTCCCCTAGAGATACATAATCAGCTCATTAGAAAAACACTTGACTTTTAGCAACTTTGTTCTATAAATATGAAGTCGACACATGCAAATTCAAGGTTCTAGAATTCTTGCTTATTAAAGAATTACTCTTTAATCAGACTAGTAATGGAGGGTATTGACGAATTTCAAATGAAGGATACAGTTTGGTTTTATGAGTTGGCTTATTTAACTAGTGAGGCTATAATGACCATGGCATTTTCTTTTACGCTGCCAAAAAGGTAATCCTTTTCAGAAACCCTTTTAAAATCTCCAAAACAATAGATTTTTCATACAACTGAGTAAATAACAGTCCATTTAAGAGAGACTTTCTGTAACTACCTAAAATCATTTTGTTAAGTTGTCACATGAAACATGTTGTGCCTAACATGAACATTGTAACATATTTTCATAACATTACCAACATAAGCTACCCACTGGTTATTTAGCTCTCTTCAATTTCCATGGAGAAAAATTTAGAAAATACTATCTTCAAGAATAGAAAAACTCACTTTAAAGAAAATTGGATGTTTATCATCTATTTCAGGACTACTCGTATTCATTTAACTGAAAATCCTAGTGTGAGCATCTTATGTTCTGAGATACTTTTATAACACTGGTATATGACAGAATCCTATGAAGAAATAGGATAATGTAAGATAATTATGGCTGCTAAAGGGGGTGGAACTCGAGTGACTTGTGTGTGTGTGTGTGCAACTGTGCACATGCAAAATCAGTGGGGGAGGGAACTGATGGTTGGAACTCGGCACAGTTCATAGCACTGTACAGACAATGAATGAATTTTATACCTGTTTAAAATTAATTTAGGAACTAATGAAAAGTAAATGGCTTTCCATTTACATGGCAGTTACAACCTTGTATGAGGGAGACAAAAATACTGTAATATGCCCTGGCTGGTGCGGCTCAGTGGATTGAGTGTCAGCCTGCGAACCAAAGTGTTGCCGTTTCAGTTCCTAGTCAGGGCATATGCCTGCGTTGTGGGCCAGCTCCCTAGTGGGGATTGTGCAAGAGGCAATCACACATTGATGTTTCTCTCCCTCTCTTTCTCCTTCCCTTCCCCTCTCTCTAAAAATAAATAAATAAAATATTTTTTAAAAAATATGGTAATATAAAATGATAAACCAGCAAACGAGGGCAATATAGGATAATAACAGCTAGCACTTACTGTTTCCAGTGTTACAAACATATTGAATGCATATTTTCTTATTTAATTCTCACAGAAGCTATATGAGATTGGTGCTGTTATTGTTCCTATTTTAAAATTAGGAAATTGAGGCTTAGGTCAACCAGTCACATAACCACTGAGTGGCACAGCTGGGATTGGGGCTCAGAGCTCATCATACTCAGCAGCTTCGAAGCCTCTACAAGTTGCTTCCTTGTGCTTCAGAATAGAAATGGGTTGTGGTGAGTGGGAGAGAAGAGGGAAGGTAAAAGACTGATTCTGAAAAAAGTACTGAGGCTTTTGGGATGCTATTGGAAATATCAGAAGAGTATCAGCAACAGATGAATCCAAACACCATAAAAAAATCTCTCTTCATATCTCCATATGAATTGTTTTTTTCTTTATAGGATCCATTAGAAACGCACAATGAAAGTAGTAAAATCAGGTTTTGGAACTAGAATGAAAAGTCCTTTCAATGGAAATACTGGGCTTCATGAAGGACAGGTACAATACTTTAGATATAAAACATGTTTCTTTAAATGATGTTGAGTAGAATTTTATTACTGAAAGCAGAAAAGCATACTGCAGAATTGTGTCATATCTCCCCTAGGTCAGGGCAAGCGAGATTAAATTACTCCCTTCTCTTAACAAGTATTCCTTGAAAACATTTACTTTCAGAGTCTTAAACTGCTCCAGTTGGGCCACTGGTTTCTCTGTGTTCCTTCCTATTAAATTATGAATATCACATTTAATGCTAACTTCTGCCCAACAGGAAGCACCAACAGAATTGAAACTGCAACCTTTCAGTTATGGGATGCTGCTAATCCCAAATTTTCTGTCCAGCGACTCGACTCTGTCCTCCTTCAGACCTGTCCGTTCAAGGCCTAAGTGCCTCTTGACCCTTAACTGCGCCCTCCAGGAGGAGCTGCCAGTCCACATCAGCCACTGACAAGGCTGTCAGCGTGCCACATTGCGCAACACAAAAGAACCCCTGGGACTTCCAGATCACAAAGGCTGTCTACGAGAAATCCCTTTCAAGTGAAATGGGAACGGAAATGAGTTTTACTTAGGAAATTCCGCCCTGGCCTTCCCTTTACAAAGCAACCCAAACCTGGAGAAAAAAAGAATCAGAACTTCATTTGTACATTATTTCCACAACGTCATCAATATTTCTGTACATAAAAAGTTCATGGAACAATTATATTATAGTAAGTGTCCTCATGAGTTAACCTTGACTTGAGTATTGTTTTTTAGGGTAGCCGTCCTTGCTCTACCTTCCCATTCTGGAAATTTAGCCTTGGAATTTAATAATACTGTGAAAGACAAAATGCCCCTGTACAATTAAGGAAATGGTTTTTTTCAGTTATTGCAATAGGGAAAATGCTCATTAATGAGAAGCGTCTGTCCTAAATAAAAGGAGAGAGAGACCTGGGTTTTATAGAGCAGGTAAATAAGGGAGTCATCAGGGAGTCTCAAGAGAATCAGGAGGAAGGAGACAGGCCTTATCTAGGGATATTTGTGAGCAGGGTGGGCTTTTGCAGTTAGCTGGGGTGATTTCTCAACCATTTCCGCTCTCAGCACAGAGCTCAGATAAAGTTCAACATTGTCAGCATGTTTCTGTATTTCTTCACTGTGCTACTGAAAGCAGGTTAATGGGAGTCATTACTATAGGATCAGATGGTTGTGTGTTTTTTTAAATTTTATTTATTTTTAGACAGAGGGGAAGAGAGGGAGAAAAAGAGGGAGAGAAACATCAATGTGTGGTTGTCTCTCACACACCCCCTACTGGGGACTCAGCCTGCAACGCAGGCATGTGCCCTGGCTGGGAATTGAACCGGCAACCCTTTGGTTTACAGGCTGGTGCTCAGTCCACTAAGCCACACCAGCCAGGTCTAGGATCAGATAGTTTTATAGAAACCACTTTGTCTATGTCACTTTTAAATGAGGAAACTGAAGTACAATTATTTTAAGTGACTTATTCAAGTTTAGGGGCAGAGTCAGAACTCCCATTTAGGGATCTTTTTTATTACACCAAGCTCAGTTTAAAGGTAAGTAATTTATTCAAAAAGTAATATGATCCTTTTCAGTTATCTTCAGTGATACGTAATTTTTATTATTGACCTTTTAACATAAGAATATTAAGAAATATGAAAGGCCGTTTTGACTTTGAAGAAGCTAGGAAGCAGGGGGGGTTTATAAGTGGCTAAAAATTGTGAAAGATTGTTAAGACAGCTCTATTTTTTTCTCATAGCACAGTTATAATGTTTAATGTTTAAATGAAATAGTTAAATATTTAAAATTTCTCTTTAAAATTTTAAACAGCTTTCTCCAAATTAAGAATGTAAATGAATCATAGAAGGAAAACCCTTGTCTATTAAAAGAAGGCCTCACATGTTCTAACGGAAAAACCAAAACTTAATTGACTTTAAAACATCTATCGAAATATTTCAAAGTAATTGTTTGTACTTCCCTGAACTGATTCACTCTTAGTTTTAAATATGGCTTTTTAATTCTGCAGCAGAGGCATGGTTGGGGCAAGTCAGAAAGACCAACTCATAGTCCTTCTGATAATAAAAACTATAACAGTAATTAACATGTATTGTTATTACCTAGTAGGAGCTGTTCTGATGCTTTCTTTCTTTTTTTTTTAACTAAAATGATGGTTTTGAATGGGAACCAGAGATATGGTTACAATTATACAGTCCAAAGCAAAAAACCCAAGTATGATCGGGAGTTGGAAGGTTACAAAATAATGAGGGTAACACCGGGTATGGAAGAAGAGCTGTTGCAGAACCTCAGGAGGCAGGCCAATATGGCCTCTCCCTGCGTTCCCGTCTGTGGTCACCCATCATGCCAGGGCCAAAGCCACCTCTCTCCCTACCACCCCAGGCCCCTTGGAAGCCCCCACAGTCCCTGCCTCTGCTTCAGTAGCCACCCTAATCATAGTGTCCTCAGCCACCACGACGGTCATCTCCATAGCTACGCCCCATATGAGGGCCTCCTGGGCCATCTGGTTTAGGGTCCTTAGAGTGGTTGCATTTATTCCTCCAAGAGAAGTTCATGGTCTCACATGCAGGACAAGGACACGTCCAGTCCCCAGCTTGCTGCAGTCCCCCACCGCCACCACCTCCACTGGGGAGTCCTCCCCAGCCAGCGCCACCACTGCTACCACCTTCACAAACTCCACGGCCCATGGGCTCTCCTTGCCCTCAGCTTCCACGGCCATTGCCACCACCCCGACTGAAATGTGCTCGCCAAGTGGTAGATACGGCTTTGGTAGTATTCCTAGGGAATTCTTCATCCTCGAACCAGTCAATGCCGGCTTTAGCAGAAGGTGAGTCATCAAATGATACCGCTGCCTCTCCCTTCAGCCTGCCCATTTCCCTGTCTGTGTACAGATTGTCCTGTTTTTATGCCTTAGTAATAATGCATAACTACCGACCAATCTGCTTGAAGTCGCCCACAGGCTCAATTGTAACATTCTGGCCAAGGCCTTGCATGAAGATGAAGCTGTTGTCTGAATTATCCTGTTCAGAGTCATGATGTGATTCCTGGTCCCAAGGGCCACCAAGTATATTTGAAGCCACTACCATCCCTTCCACCCATGGCACCTCTGCCTCCATGGCCACCTCCGTGATCTCTGGGCTCATAGCCACCTCTGCGGTGGTTGTCACCACCACCACAGCCCTGGCCTCGTCCCCCGCATTCCTTCTGGCCTCCCCTGCAGCCCCTGCCGCCACCTGGTCCTGATTGCCATAACCGCCGCCGCTGCCGCCACCGCTCCTGGGGGACCGATCTTGGCCACAGTTACCTCCACCACCCACCCCGCCACCGCCACGGCTACTGTTGTACTGGTTCTGCTGTCTGTAGCCCTGAGGAGCACGGCAGGGGCTTTGCTTCTGCCCAGCGCTGTCTGCCGGAGCCAGGCTGCTGACCACAGTCCCCATCTGGACGGCCCATATTTGCCGCTCTGTGAGAACTGCTACCATATCCTCCCGAAGTGCTGCTAGGAGCTGGCTGTTGGCCACAGCTAGCCAAGATAGGACTGCTGCCCATAAGATGACTGAGAACTCTGGCCACTGCCATAGCCGGCAGTTGAGCCATGTCCCTGGGGAGCTGACTGAGTGTTATAGCTGTTCTGGGTCTGTCCCTAAGAACCACAGATGCTCTGGCCATAGCCTGAATGTTCCCTGACTGGCTGTAGCCACGATAACTCTGCTCTTCATAGGGCTGATTGCTCTGCTGGGAGTAACCATGCCCAGGTTGGGTAGGGTAGGCCCCACAGTTTTGGGCTGCTTCTTGGGTATAGTCATTTGAGGCCACGTTCGCACCCACGCTTGATGCTTTCTGTATATTAACTCATTTGATCTGCAGAGCAAACCTATGAGGTAAGACTGATGTTCTCATTTTACAGAAAAGGAAATTAAGGCACTGAGAACTTAAAGTGTATATGCAAGTTTGCACAAATAGTCTAGAGCTGGGATTTAAACCCAGTCTGATTTTTTTTTCTTCCTGCGATTTCTAAAATAGATGTGGGTGTAGGTTTATTACTTGGTGGATACTGTAATATAATATTAAAAATAATGTTCTAAATTTGAAAGATGGAAAATGAGTAAACAAATATTTCCTATATAAATGACAAGTTGGGTTAGCATTCATTTTTGTAAGAATAAGGTATTAATTCAATATCTTGGGTTTTTTTCACCAGGCTGGTCTCTTCTGGTTAGTTTTAGTGATATCTTCTTAAGTTTTAGGAATTCGGAAAAAAAAAATCAAATTGGTTACATTTATCTGAGTTAACCAATCTCTTGTGCCTTGAGATCTAGAATGATCTTCCATGTTGAGGCAGGGAAGTGCTCCTGGGAAAAGGAATTGGACATTTTAACTCTCCCTACATTTTCAGTTAAAATTAACCTAAATTATCCAATTAGAAACAAACACTCATGTGGATTTTAAGGGTTTCCAAAGAGTTGAGTCTCCTTCATTAACCAATTTTATTTGTAACTTTCACCAAAAATAATTACCTCTAGGTTGTTTAGCATCTCAAATTCTACAAAGATGAAATGTGGCAATTCTTTGCCTTTTATATGTTGTGAAGATCACTATTAGAAAGCTAAAGAACTAAGGGATATCTCCAAATTTTAAAATTTTAGATTTAAGGTAAGCATAAATGTTTGGAGAGGGAAAAACAGGCATTTCCCCTAACTTAGAGCAATGACAAAGTAGTAAGAAAAAGCACATATTCCTCCCCCAACTCACCTACCACCCTACTCTGTTAAGGAATAAGGTATGAGGTGAGCTTGATTAGAATAGTAAATCAGCAACATTTCAGAATGTCTTCTGAAATAATCTGTTAAGCCTCTACATAAATAAAAGATTATTTAGAGAACTTGCTGAATACTATATGGCCTGTTGTTTTGAGGACCCAGGATGAATGGGAAATGGCAATACTAAAGCTTTGTGGAAAAAATAATCTTGTTAATGGGGGAATAGTTAAATTATTGGATAACTACTGGTATGCTACAGAATACTAGGAAATCATTGAAAAGATTGAAATAATTCTATATACACAGACACACAAAACTGTCTTCCATGTAGTAAGTGAAAAAAAGTTCCATAGTATATGATATGATTTAGCTAGTGTTAAATATGTTATAAAAATATACCTAATATTTCTATGCTATAAACATATATGTTGTAATTAGTATGTTTTTATATGCCTGGAAGGATATAAACCAGACTGGTAATAGCAAGGTACTTTGAGTAGTGGGATAGAAGGAGTAGGGAGAGACTGGGAACTTTTACTTTATACATTTCTATACTGTTTGAGTGTGATAGATACTTTTATTTTATAATAAGCAATTATTATTTTTAAAACTTTTTAAAAATTATATAAGGGGAAAAAATCCCTGTGGTATTATCAAACACTGGAATGAATTATATAAATAAGTCATGTACTACCGAAGGCATTAAAGAACAGATCTATGATAATGACTAAAACTAGGGGGAATTGAATTTCAGTAAACAAAAATTCTAACTATCTCCACTTTCTTCTCTCAGAAAGCTACTCTTTTACAAGATCCCCTATATGGTAGTGAGTTCAGTCTTGCCACTGGTCAAAGCCACACAGGTAAGGAGTGAGGATATGCTAGAGTTCCATGGAGGAGTGTTCTCTCCTCGGTGCCTCTCCTAACTCTGTGTGTCACTGACCATCACATTGAACCTCTATCGCAGCTCTCTGCCCTGAATTTTAGGTCTGCAAACACTATTACCCACTGGACATCACCTCTTGTAGGTTCCTTAAAGTCAGCATACTCTATGCAACAGGAAAACAGAAATCATCTTCCCTAATGGGGACCTAATCTCCTGTTTCCTAACACCGGGCATGATGTTATTATCCCCAGATTTCCTAAGCCAGAGTTCTGGATGTTACCTCTGTACCTTCTCTCCCCTTCACCATCCCCCACACCCAGCCCATCACCACATGATTTACTGTGCTTTAGTATATCTGAGTAACGGCCACTTGTTTCCACTGTCACACATTCAGGGCCTGCCTGGGCTCCTACAGAGTTTCCCTAGCTGGCCCCGCCTTCACTTTTGGCCCTCTCTAGCCCTTTCTCCATTACAGCAGAGGACTCTTCGAGAAGCACGGGGTCGGATCATGTAAGTCCTCCCTCACAGCTTTTGAATGGCTTCACTATCCCTTAGGAGGAGGTTGTAAACTCTTTAACAGCTTACACAGGTCTTCCTCATGTCTTTTCATTTTTTCCATTCTCAACTATTGTGTCCTCCCCACTCCTGCCTTACACTCCCGGCCCAAGTGAACTCACAGTTCTCAGAAAGCTCCCTGTTTATTTTTCCCCTGGGCCCTAACATGATGGCCCTTATTCAAGAACCCTATTCTCTACTTCTCTTCCCCTTCATGAATTAACTTCAGCTCAGCAAGTCTTAGCTTACTATCCCTTTCTCTAAAAATAATTTCTCAAAACTAAGTTAAGTGGGGCTCTTCCATAACATCCTGTGTTTATACGTCACTTAACACTTGCCAGTCTGTATTACGATTGCTTATTTGTTTATGTGTTGTCCTATTATGCAGTGTGCTCCTTAAGGGTAGGGACTTGGTCACTGGCACATAGAGGCTGCCATAAGCCTTTTTAGAATGAATGAATGAATGAATGAATGAATGAATGAATGAGAGAGATAAGATTGAGGTAGGCACCAGGTCATAAAGGGCATCAGGGCTAAGAAGTTTGGATTTTATCCAGATTTTGTAGTTTCTTTAGGTTGTTGTCACAGTCAGCCTTATATTGAAGTAGCTACTTGTGATGTGACCATCTTCCAGCAGTTGTGAGACCCTGGAAAGCAAACAGCATGTCTTATTAATTTTTGTATTTTTCTTACACAGTGGTCTGCACATAGCATTCAGTGAATTGATGGTGTCAACAATTTTGATGTCAAATTTAATTTATGGTCAAGTTTTAAAAGGTTGTATATTGGGGGTCATGTAAATGAATTGAAAGTAAGTTAGTTTTAAAAGACACATTTGCATTTCCCACTAAAGGAACTAAGGTTCCTTACAGAAATGGCTGATTCTAGACCTGGGGCAGGAAATGCACACAGTGAGTCTGGAACGGCTTGTGCCAGGATGCAAAGAGCAGTGGGACCCCAGAGTGCAGGAGCCCACATGAAGGCTCTTAATAGCCAATGACGGAACATTTGAGTGTCACAAAAAATAATGAATGAGATGGTTGAAACGCAATAAATATGTAACAATTTAGAAGTATATAACGACGCATCCCAGAGAAACAGTCCTCCCTGCACTTCCACACAGAAAGAGAGAAAAACATATTGAACTCCATTACTCTGCAAATTAGCAAACAAATGGGAAGAATTAAGCATTTATCCTGCCTTACCTGCATGAACTGTAATCAGTTCAGGGTAACCAAGCAGCACGAATAAATGAGGGAAAATTCCATTTTACAGAATTGCAGCTAATGAATGTGGAAGGATTAACAGAATTGGAAGGTTACCATTTTTGCAACTCCTAATCAAATGATAGGTACATGCAGCAATCCTCAATAGATGGAACCATTACACAGAAAGGTGAAGCAGATCTTAACATGAAGGGATTATTTTGTAAATGACTAAACTCATTGACCAGTCTTAGCATCACTGAAGTGGGACAGCCAGATTTTTGTGCCTCATGATTCGATGTAATATGAAACACGCAGCACCACGTATGAAGTATCTTTGTTAAAACAATTAAATCTGAACCTGACTTTGAAGTGTGGGTATGTCAGCCTTAAAAATGAATGAAATTCTGACACATGCGACAACATGGATGAACCTTGAAGAAATGATGCTAAATGAAATAAGCCAGACATAAAAAGGCAAATCCACCTATCTGAGGCCCCTAGAACAGGCAAATTTATAGAAACAGAAAGTAGAGTAGAGGTTACCATGGGGGAGAGGGGATTGGGAGTTATTATTTAATGGGTAAAGATTTTCTCTTTAGGAAGATGAAAAAGTTCTGGAATTTGATGGTGATGGCTGCACCTCATGCCACTGAATTGTACACCTAAAAATGACTAAAATGGTAAATTTTATATTATGTATATTTTATCTCAATTTTTAAAAAGGTAGGCATGTGTGTAACGGAATTGATAAAACATGATTAGCAAAATGTTGAAAATTATTGAAGCTAGGTGGTGAGCATATGGGGTTTCTTTTACAATTTTCTTAATTTTTGTGTCTGAAAATTTCTATAGTAAAAATTTCTTAAAGACTTAGGAAAAGCAAATATAACAAGTATGTTATTTAGATCTTAATCTTAACAAACTGAATATAAAAGATATTTTTAAGGCAATAGAGGACATTTGAATATGGACTGGGCATTAGACAGTACCAAAGAATTATTGATAATTTTGTTGGGTGTGATAATCATGTCTTTGTAAGAAAATGTTTGTTTTATGTGGCTATGTAGGGGTTAAATAACATAATGTTTGTGATTTCTTTCTTTAAAAATATAGTAATAGAGATAGAATTTCTACATGTTTTCATATGTTACTCTAAAAGTGTATTTGTTTTAATTTTAGTATTTATTTAAAGTGAGTTTAAAGCTAATTGTATACTAAAATAGGCTCTAATTTTGTATATATGTGGCTTGAAATTTATTCCTGAAGGCAAGAGGGAGAGTTCTGTCACTATCTTGACACAGGAAAAGCATATTTCTTGCAGAGTTAATTCCTGAGGGCAGCATATTTAATATGTGGTGACTTAAAATGAACTCTCAGGGATACAGTATATGCACAAGGTACACAAGAAATGGTCTTTGCCTGCAAAGAAACTTCAGTTTAAAAGAAGTAAATATTTTTCAGGTTTCCGAATTAGAACTCTGTCAAAAGGTGAGCTCTGTAACCTAACCGTTGTGAACATTCACACAATGCTTCGGTGATAATGTGCGAAAGCGTTTTCCCAGTTGTAAAGCATTATACAACTTTGAGGTATTATTTCATTAAATGTCTGGGTAAAAAATGAAAAAATATAGGCAAAATAGAGCTTATCATTACACCAAGAATCCTTTTTTTGCCACATTATTTGGATGATGTTTTCTAGCTGATGAAAATATAGAATATCCATTAACATGAATATGATTTTTCCATATTCCTCAACTGAAATTAGTGGGGTCTTCTGGCACTGACTTTTTCTTATTTAATCAGTCAAAGGAAGTTTGTCGTCTATGTAAAAGCAAAAATACTCTGAATGTTCAAAGAAACTGTTACTATATTTAACTTCTCTGTAGAAATAAAGGCTCCTGAATTTACCTGAATTTATAATGTATACAAGACCTCAATTTATATATGAATTGATTTTTAGTATGAAGATATAACTGTGCTTTTTCTTATGAAATTTGTTTTGGCCTTGTTGAAAAAAATAGTTTAATAGTACAATCTTTATCATAGGTGCCAAAGGATAAAGAGTTTGTTTCTAAGGGTCTTAGCAAATTGCTGACTCCTATTGGGAAAGACTAGAAAACCAATTTCAAAATAACTCTGCTGATATTGTAATTTTTTCTGAGCTTTTGCTTTTCTAAGTTATTTTGTTTGTGAAAACTACATTTCTGCTGTTTTTGAACTCAGAGAATAGAGGGACTTTATAGCTGTTTTTAAAATGCAATGTGGTAGTAATTAGAAGTGGATATATAGGAAAGTGGGGTATCAAAGTTCACTCCTACTTTATTTAGATACTGTTTAGGAAATACTGTGTGCTAAGCACATGTGGCAATTAAAGTATCAAAACAGCAGAATGGGACACGTACTATCATCACCCCTATTTTATAGGTGAGGAAATTGAGGCAGAGAGAGACCAAGTAACTTGCCTATGGTTATTACCACGCTGAGTCGGGACAGATCTACGATTCTTATTAGCCCATCTCGTCCCCCCACCTCCCCAGGCTTATAATCGTGTTCTTCTGCCTCTCTGTTCTCGCTGACTTTTTATGATTATTTCTCTTCCCATGTCTTCACTAGAAAAGAGACTGCTTTTTAGGAAGTCTGAATTTCTATCTTAATTAAAGAGGCTTATGGATTGGCTAGGGGAGACCTTCTTAGTTTTTGGGTTTTTTTTTTTTAATGGGGGCGGGTAGTGGGCAAGAACCAAGATTCCATATATATAGCTGGTATCGAGATTTGTGAAGTAAGTGGTAAAAATATTTTTAATTCAATTCAGAAATCCTAGGAAGTTTCCATCAACCTGCATAGAACATGAAACATCTCTTCTACCATTACTTTGCATCCTGTTTTTCTGAATCCCTAGTTGTGTGAAACTTGGACAGGTTACTTAGACTTTCGGACATTCTATAAATGCAATAGTACAATAATTCCTAGCTCAGCCCCTTAATGGTGAATGAGCCAGTGCATTAAAAGTACCCCATTTGGGAAAACATGATGGACCTAGAGGGTATTAAACTAAGTGAAATAAGTCAGGCAGAGAAAGATAAATACCATATGACATCGCTTATATATAAAATCTAAAGAATAAAATACATGAACAAACAGGACAGAAACAGACTCACAGATACAGAGAACAACCGATAGTTGCCAGATGGGAGGGGGTTGGGGGAGGTCAGCATGAAAATGGTGAAGAGATTAAACAGTACAAATTGATAGGTACAAAATAGTCACAGAGATATAAAGTACAGCATAGGGGAAAAGAGTCAATAATATTGTATAACTATGTAGGATGCCAGGTGGGTACTGGACTTATCAGGGGGGATCACTTTGTAAATTATATAAATGTCTAATCCCTATGCGGTACACCTGAAATTAATATAAAATAATATTGAATGTCAACTGTAATTGACAAATAAAATATCCAAACAGGAAAAATAACTATATTAAACTTCTATTAGTAACAGAGTTTTACCTACCTGTCAATAATTGTTCATATTCCTCAGCTGCTGTTTTCTTGTGTTGCTGAAGATCTGAGGAGAAAATTAAGCCTTTCAGTCAACTTGAATCTGAACCTTTTTTTAAAGATAATACTTTGAGGAAGGTACTTCGCTTAATTATGGAACTTAAAGTAGCAGCCCAGAAAAACTTTACTCTGAAAAGGCTCCTCTGGAAAGTAGGTGTTTTATTTTTAACCTTTTAAGACTTGTTTCCCGTTTATCGAATGCAGCGTATTCAAGGATAAAGTAAAATGCTGTATAAATAAATATCGTCTTTGTATTTTGATGCTGTATTTTACAATGCTGATTAAATGTAATGCAACTGTGCCTAACACTTGAAATGCGTGATGTAATCGATGTCTTTGTGTGTGTTGGGGTCGGGGCGGGGGTAAATGGGAAGAGAGGAGAATGGTAGCAAAAAGAGTAGCTCACATGGTTTGGGCTCACAGAATCAGAGAAAAGAGAGGTAAATAAGAGCGGAAGCTTCTGGCATGCAGGGTGTATGAGTACAGACAGTCGGATGAGAAAGTGTGTAGGGGAAACGGAGTCAGTCAGGCTCCCTCACCGGCTGGATAAGCATTCCCATAGGCTTGAGCGGGCCGGCATGCGCCGAATCACACTCTTCTACAGTATTTTTGCACCCTGCCGCTTTTGTGTGCATTTAATATATAAGGGAGTTGGGATTCCCTGCCGGCACGACACGCAATCCAACACCCAGCTTGTGTGTGTGGATCGCCCTGCCCTAGAATAAAGGCATGTCAGACGTCCCGCCGGTTCCGCGGATGTTCTTCCGTCTGCCTAAATCCCACGGGAACCTGTCCAGCCTTGAATGGTCACAACACAAAGTGGATTTAAAAAAGTTTTACATGCACATCACCATACAATAAAAATATACCATACTTTAAAAAATTACTTTTGAATATAGGACTGTTATTTTTAAAACGGTGACTCCTGGAGAGTGAAAACAACCGAGTTCTCATTTGGCAAGTTACAGGCTTATTCTGTAAGACTTCCCTAGTTTCATGTGCAGTTTCAGGTGAAAGGTATTGAGCAGGTGTTGAGAATTCCAGGTAGTGCTGGTGCTAAGGAGGCTAATTCTGGCCAGTGGTCTTACACATAGTCGCCACCATTTTACTGAGTACTTGGGTAGTACACAGCCTCCCCAGCCATACAGAGCAGTCCCGGCCATTTCTCAGATTCTAAGTGCTTCGCACGTAGGATGGCCAGCTGTCCTGGTTTGCCCTGACTAGGGTGACCAACTGTCCCAGCTGACCATCCAGCTCAGGATTCAGAACATTTCTATCGTCCCATAAGTTTACCTTGTGCCTTTTAGCAGTCAGTTACTCCCAACTCAGGCCTCAGGCAACTACTGAGCTTTCTATCACTATATGAGTTTTGCTTGTCCTAGGATTCCACTTGCATGGCATTGTGCACTATGTACTCTTTTGTGTCTGTCATCTTTTGGCATAGTATTTTTGAGATTCTTTTATGTTGTTGCAGGTAGGTGGGAGGTATTTTATGAGTGAAAATTCTTGAACCTGTTAGCAAATAGGAGATAACAACCGATATTTATTAAGCACTTATAACATGCTAAGTACTATTCAGGCTTTATAAATACTATGTTATTTAATGCTAACATCAATTCCATGAAGGGATATTATTAAACCCACATAAGAGATGAAGAAGCTGAGTCACAGAGTACATAAGTAATTTGCCAAATGTCATACAGTTAATCAATAGCAGAGCTGGGATTTGAACTCAGGAGCATGGCTCCAGAGTCAGTGTGTAAAACCACCACATTATACTAATTTATTAGGTCTCTTGGTAAGCCCAAGCACTTCTTAGGGCCTGGTGTACATTCTGCCCCTCCCCCACTCTTCCCTCTATTTGCCTGCCATCCTCAGCCTCTTCTCATGCCTTATCACGATAACAAGGCCACATATCATCCCTGTCTAAACGAAGAATCTATGTTGTCATTATTAAAAAAAAGTTCTGAGGGAAAAAATGAATAACACAGGAATAGAAAAGAGAAGCAATTATGTTATATTTCTCATTAGTACCAGCTTGTCTGATTTCATGGACCAGTGCTTATTTTCATGCTCGATTTATCTCATAAGACTGGATAAGAACACAAAAAATTGGTTTCCCACTCTTAAGTCCGTGTTTATTTTGGCAGAAATGGCAATGTGCATTTCTACTGTATTAACAGAAGTATTAATATCATTCTGCACCATCTTCATAGACTACACTAGTGCTCCGCATTTATTTTTGTAATAGTAAACATTTTTAAATAACAGCTTATCTGGTCTTGATTTCATTATACATTCACAAGGTCCAAACTACTTAGGAAAGGCAGGAATTATAGTAGTTCCCAGTTTATATATTATTCCAAGGTAACTGAATGACTTGCCTGAGATTATACACCTGCTTATGGAGAATCTTCATTCAATATTAATGGTTGAGCCATGCCTAGAAGGCATCTCCCAGCTTCACTCTCCAGATTTTAGCTCTTGCCCTGTTCACCAGGACAGTGGTCTCTTGATTATAAATTAAAGTATGTTTTCAATTTGGGTTATGCTAGTATTAATGGGGGATATTTAAATCACTTTGTTGTAAAAGAAGAAATCATTTCTTCTTATTTTTACTACGTAAGCATAGAGAGTTTTACCAACAGACCCTTAACTGCATCTTCTTTCCTGCCTGCTTTCACAGACCAGTGACCTTTTTTATTTCCTAGTGAACCAGCTTCATGAGTACTTGTGAGAGTCTACAGATGAGAATGCACTTCACAATAAAAGCCAAAGAGCTGATGACCTGGTGTAAGTACTGACTGGATAATCATAGATATTTTTCCCCATAGTTAAAGATAAATAGAAGGCACTAGACAAAATATATAGTTTTAATGATTAATGGTACTTCAAGTTTTGCTTCACATAGGTGTTTAAAAATAGCATTCATTTTGTTCTAATTTTGAAAGAAAGACTACATAAGAAACGAGTAATATTGGCTGTCCTAAAGGGGAAAAATTGAATGTCTAGAAGAAAAACAATTTTATTGTATTTTCTTTTTTGCCTTTGAAATTTTGAGTCAAATATTACCTACTTGAAAAAGTTAATGTTATTTTTTAAAAGTAGTGCATGATTACTGTAAAAACTTTGGGAAAAATATAAGTACAAAAAAACAATATGAAAATGACTTTTAATCCTGACATACAGCTAGTCATTCATTCAACAAATATTTTTGAGTGCTTACTATGTAACAATCAGAGTAGGCACTCAACCAATGGTGACAATTTGATATACAGAATTTCCTTCTTGTACTTTTCACTACATAGCTGAGTGCAATTCAATTAAGAATTACTGACTTTGTGGAATTCTGAACTTATACTGAAATCATGCATTTTCATGTTTTTTCTTTGTTTTCTAGGGCGCGCATTGAAATTATACAGACTCTGGGACTGATGTTCAGAGAAACCGAAACTGAGTCAGCACATCTGAACACATTAGCAGATAAGAAGTAAAGTCTATCAGAAAATAGAAAATATTGGGACCTTGTAGTTGCAACCTATTAACTACTCTGTTGTCTTCCAAAACCCATTGCTCTCTCAATTCTATGTTCAATCTTTTTGTAAGTATATTAAATTCTTTAGCCTCTGTACTTCCTTCTGTGATGAACAGGTTAATTGGCACATGCTGAGTTCTCTCCATCTTTCTGGATTATTAAGGGCACAAAGATTTTCTTAGGATAATTTTATCTTTTGTTATTGTCTGATGAACTTGAAAAAGACCAACCAATGACCCACCATACATTAAAAGCCAGAGGAATTCTTTATTAGAACTTTCCAGAGTACCCTTATATTCGTACAATAGAAAACTTACATTGCAAACGCAGAAATTATAGTAGCTTCATTTAATATATAATAATGTGACCTTGGAGTGAATGATGTAGGAGTGTTTATTAACATATAGCATAAGCTGCTATAATAAAGACACTCTAAAATATGCGGTCCAAAGAAGATAGAAATTTACATCTATCACATAACAGTTGAGAGTAGATAGTCAACCTTTCCTTCACAGGATCAGCCAGAGACCTAGGTTTCTTTCCTTTTGTTGCTCTGCCATTTTCTGTCAGACTCTCTTTGTCCTTATGGTTAAAGCTGGCTTACCTACTTGGTTTTATTACATCCTGTGGGAAGCAGTGAGAGGAGTGGAGGGAAAGCAAATTTCTTTTTTAGACAAGGCATGTAAGACTTTTGCTCATGTTCTAATGGTGAGAACTTCAGGCATGTGACCATAACTAGCTGCAAGAGAGGCTGAAAATATGTCTGTAGTTGTACAGTTATGTGCCTAAATATGCTTTGAATGGTGATGGGGACAACTGTAAATAAAAGGAAGAATGCATGAATGTATAATAGGGGGACAATAACATTCTTTTTCACAGAAGGTATGTATTTGCATGTTTTGAATGTTATCTGCCTGTCCTTTTTATAGTAAGTATTTTGGGCTATTTAGGCCCTTGTAGTCTCTGTTGCAATTACTCATTTCTGTCACCGTAGCATAAAAGCAGCAATAGACAATACATAAATGAATGGGCACAGCTGTGTTCCAATAAAGTTTTATTTACAAAAACAGGCTCTGGGCTATTTAGCCTGCAGGCCAATTTGTTGACCCCTGCTTTAATATAGGAAAATACACCCTTGTTATTTTCTCTGCATATGTCCAAGATGGAAATCCAAGATTATTTCTAATATTTCTGTCCTCCCCTACAGTGAAACTATTGCTAAGTCATTTTACTCTTTTTGTGTCTCTTTTGGCCTCTACCTTTCTGCATCCAAGTTGAAAAAAAAATCACTGTTACTAACCCCTACTATATAGTGTTGTATTTTAATTGTTCTGTCTTAACTTGGTTTGACCACATCAGCCCTGTTATATCAAGTTTCTTTCTTGATATGACTAATTCTTTTCATTTCCTTCAATACATATATTGCTGTAATAGAGTGTGGTTGTAATATTAACTTTTCAGCTAATTTTCATATTCATAGGGTCATCATGTTATCCATAGCATTGGTACCATGGTAAATATCTAATATAACCTTATTAGTCTTCTACTGCCCTGTAACAAATTACCACAAACTCAGTGGCTTAAAACACTGCAAATTTTTTATCCCATGGTTTCTGTAGATCAGGAAATCTGGGCATTGTTTAGTTAATCCTTTGCTCAGTCTCATAAGGCTGAAATCAAAGTGTCAGCTGGGGTTGCAATCTCGTCCGAGGCTTGGGGTCCCCTTCCAAGCTCATTTGGGTGATCATTGGCAGAATAAATTTCCTTATGGCTATAAACTCATGATGGCTTGCTTCTTGGCAGAAGAATATCTTTGAGCTCAGGACTAAGCTCTCTTTTAAAGGGCTCACTTGATTAATCTTCCTTTGATTAAGCCAAGTCAACTAATTAGGGACCTTAATGAAATATGCAAAATCCCTTTACCTATCATAACATAATCATATGAGTGATACTCTAACATGTTTACAAGTCCTACCTAAATTTAAGGGGAATGGTTAGGGTTAAGGTATATATATGGGCACAAATCTTGGAAATCCAGTAGAATTCTGCCTATCATAATAACATATGTTGACTTCTGAGGGTATGAGTTTGCACTTCAAAGTCTGTATTTTAAAATATAATACATTCAAAGTTCTTACATTGGAAATAGTAACAATTTAAGCAATGAAAGAATCAAATTGTTGGCACTATTTTTTAAGGCTGTGATGTCAATCTTGTAAGTCTTTATTTTCAGGCTGAAACTACCATTTAGATTAAAATTTCTTTGACCTATTATTAGCCTGTGGATTTTAAATTGAGTTGGCAGGAAGGGTAGGTTACAAATTAAGTTCCATTTGAGCAATAAAAAAGTATTTAATCATTTCAGTATTTTCCTCTATTTTTTCATAAGTGCAGATTTTATTAGCGCAACCTACTTCCTTGTATTCTTGAAATGTACCATAATCCTTTCATGTTTCAGTATTGTTACAATTGTATTCATATATTACCACAGCAAGTGAGCCAGTTTTTGAGCATTCCTTCTCTTAGCCTTAGATATATGATACTTTGAAAAGAAGCTGTTGCAGAAAATAAAGGACTAAAATTAAATATAACAGTGAATGGAATGTCAGTTCAAACTTAGTATCAGGAAAAGCTACTAAATGGAGCATTTTATTAATTTTGGAAGGGTCTTCTAAGAGTAAGATTGGCCATTTTTAAATAGCTGAATAAAACATTAGCAAATATCCTGTAGGACATATCCTGCTTTTTCTTTTTTTTTTTTGAGAAATGTACTGACATGATTTTCCTTTTTGCAGATGTGAGAGTTGGAGAAAAGAGGAGAATTGCACTTAGAATTTTTGTTAATCATGAACTTCTAATCATGGTAACGATTTAAATGATTGTAAAAAGATTAGAAAGCCTCAAATATTACTAAACAAGGACTGTTTATAGTCTCCTTTATTCCATTTTGAAAGGAATGCTTATGGATACGAGAATTTTTTGTACACTCCCACCTGTAAATTCTTTTACTACTCTACCTGTCAAAGCCACTCTGATCTTGCCTTCAGTTAGACAACTGTATTTCTGGTGGCCTGCTGTCAGCTCCTTTCGAGCATACATGGGTTGTGCTGCACTTATGAAGATGGTGTTACTAACCCAGCCCCTCAGAATGCTCAGTTTGAATTATGATTGTTTTCTTTTCATTTCCAAATCATATGGTATATTCTTCAAACATGTAGTACCACTTAAGGGATTTATAATTGCACATTAGTGAATATATACTGCATTTGAAAGCAAAAGACCTGAAGTTTCATATCAGTTTTATTAACAGCTGGTGGCCTTCAGTGGAACAGTAAACCTCTGAAATACTTTGTCTAAAAAAAGGGTTGTAGAGTAAAAAACATGTGGTCAAATAAGCATTTCAAGAAATGCTTCAGCCCTGGCTGGTGTGGCTCAGTTGGTTGGAGTGTTGTCCTGTGAACTGAGAGGTTGTGAGTTCAATTCCAGGTTGGAGCACATGCCTACATTGTGGGTTCTGTCCCAGTTGGGGCATGTAGGAGGGGCAAGCTATCAATGTTTCTTTCTAACATAGATGTTTCTCTCCCTCTGTTCCTCTCTCTCTAAAATCAATGAGCATTTCCTCAGGTGAAGATACAAAAAAAAAGAAATGCTTTATACTGTATCTTTGTCCTGGATATATGCAGTGCATGCACATTAGCATATTAAAGCCTCTGAGAAGTCATGTAGTAAATATATCCAGCAAACTCAGTTAAATCAAGTACTTCTCATCCGTTTTTAAAAAAAAAACATTTAAGAAAAATCCTCACCTGCAGATATGTTTTGCTGATTTTAGAGAGAGAAGGAGGCAAAGAAGGAAGGGGCAGAGAGAGACACAGAAGCATTGACGTGAGAGAGAAACATCCATTGGCTGCCTCCAGTACGCACCCTGTCCTGGGATGGAACCAGCAATGCAGGTATGTGCCCTGACTGGGGATCAAACCTGCAACCTTTTGATGCACAAGACCATGCTCTGACCAACTGAGCCACCTGGCCAGGGCTCATTCCTCTTTTGAATACAATATATTTTGACTATAAAGTTGGCTGAAATTTAATCCATGAAAAGCCCTTTGGAAGATACTGCTATAATTGGAATCACCCCCTTAAATCTAGATTTTCTAAGCTTTCCAATGTGAACTTTCAGAACTGAACTTGCTCTGAGCCAAAAGATCAAGAAACTGTATTTTCACTTAAATGTCTTATCTCTGGACATTTGTCTGCATATTCAAGGATCCAAAAGTTCAGGCAAGAATGGCCTTCAGGTACAGATTTTTGGTCAAAATGGAGGTATAGGTAAATATGTTTCAACTCTGTACACAACTACAGCAAAAATTATAACTAGACTACAAAACAAATACATGTATCACCCAGATTAGTCAGAAATTCAAGCTGTATGGAAGACTGACAACCAAGGATTTAAATAAGGCACATTCATCCAGTTGGGTAGGAGGGGTGGAGACATGGAGAGGCATGGAGACGTGGAGTGGCACGGAGAGGTGGCAGAACAGGTGGTCCCGCGTTGACATGTGGTGGATAAAAATTATGAGGGATACCTCAGGAACCAGCAATCCCAGGTCCAGACCAGACCACCCAGCCCAGTGTTCTAGCGCCAGAAAGGTAAGTCCCTATAACTTCTGACTGTAAAAATCAGTGAGGGTTGGGGCAGTGGAAGAAACTGCGGGATTTGACAAGAAGTCAAAGCAGCTCTACTGAATACACAGAAACAAACACAGGGAGGCTGTCAAATTGAGGAGACAAAGAAATATGGCCCAAATGAAAGAACAGAACAAAACCGCAGGAAAAGAACTAAAAAAAATGGAGATAAGCAATCTATCAGATGCAGAGTTCAAAACACTTGTTATAAAGATGCTCGAGGAACTTAGTGAGGACCTCAACAGCATAAAAAATATCCAGTCAGAAACAAAGTACACATTAACTGAAACGAGGGCAATTTACAGGGAAACAAAAGTAGAGTGGATGAAGCCAAGGATCAAATGAATGATTTGGAACATAAGGGAGAAAAATACAACCAATCAGAACAAGAAGAAAAAAGAATAAAAAAAATGAGAATACTGTAAGCAGCCTATAAGACAACTTCAAGAATTCCTACTTTGGCATCATAGGGGTGCCAGGAGGAGAAAAGAAACAGCAACAAATTAGAATTCCATTTGAAAAAATAATGAAAGAAAACTGTCCTAATTTGGTGAAGGAAATAGACATGTAAGTTCAAGAAGCACAGAGAATCCCAAACAAGATGGATGCAGAGAGGCCCACTCCAAGACACATCAGAATTACAATGCCAAAGGTTAAAGATAAAGAGAGAATATTACAAGCAGCAAGAGAAAAGCAGTTAGTTACTTACAGGGGAATTCCCACAAGACTGTCAACTGATTTCTTTCAAGAAACTTTGCAGGCTGGAAGGGATTGGCAAGAAATATTTAAAGTTATGAAAGGCAGGGACCTACAGCCAAGATTGCTCTACCCAGCAAAGCTAACATTTAGAATCAAAGGAAAGATAAAGAGCTTCCCAGACAAGAGAAAACTAAAGGAGTTCATCATCACCAAACCACTACTATACGAAACGTTAAAGGGGCTTATTTCAGAAAAAGAAGATCAAAACTATGAACAATAAAATGGCAATAATTACCTATCAACAATTAAATCTAAAAAAAGATGGAAGGGTATTGTGGGGCATGGGTGAAGAGGTGAGGGGATTTAGAAGTACAAATAGATAGTTATGGAATAGCCATAGGATATAAAGTACAGTATAGGAAATGGAGTAGCCAAAGAACCTATACCCATGACCCACACACATGAAAAATGGTGTGCAGGTTGCCTGAAGGGAGTCTGGGTGCTGGGTGGAGGGGGGCAAAGGGAAGAAAATTGGAACAATTGTAATAGCATAATCAATAAAACAATTAAAAATATGATTATGTCATCCCTTGCTTTAAATCCCTCACAATAAAGACATAATGAATAAAAACTAAACTCCATAATATGTCCTACAAAGCCATGCACATTATGGTCCTACAGCCTCATCTAATCCCTCACTCTTCTAGCTATGTGGGTCTCCTACTCACTGCCCACCCCCAAAACCCTCAACGCCATCACAGGACCTTTGCCATCTGTCTATCTGAAATGCTTTTCCCTCCCTTTCCCACCTAGTTAACTCTTACTCCTCCTTCAGGCCTCAGTACCCCTTCCTGGGGTGGGCTGGGTAGATGCTTCCCTGACCTCTAAGTCAGATTCCCCCATTATAGGCACACATAGACATAACATGGCACCTTCTTCCCTCCCTCCGAAGAACTGTCTCTACTGAACTTCACATTTGTTTGCATTATTACTTGTTTCTTTCCTATAGTAGCCATTAGTGCCTACACAAATTCAGGCGCTCTCTCTCCAGACACAGCATTCCAGGATTATACTCCCCTTCCCACTTGAAATTAGGTCTCTGTTCTTGCTTTTGCCAATTGAATGTGAACAGAAGTAGCCTGTGTCACTCCTTGTCAGAAGGTTTAGGAGCCAGTACATGCTTCCCTGCATTCTTTTTTCCCTTCTGAAATGGTGACTGGCAGCATTCCATATGGTCCTGGGTAACTACAATGAGCAGAATGCTGGACTGACCCGTTAGGGGTGTTAATTATGAACAATAAGCCTTTGCTGTTTTAAACAAAGCATTGATTTTGTAACATTTTTTACCATAGCCTATCATGACGGATATCTTTCTCTCCCAAAAGACCCCAAGTGCCATGAGGGTAGGAGTTTTGTCTGTTGTGCTAGACACATAATAAATGTGCAATAAAATATCTACTGAATTAATTGTTATAAAGCTTTACCCATTAACCTCTTCTCATCTTTCCAAACTTAGTTTCCCTTTATTCATTCATGTATCCATACATTCAATCAACATATATTTAATTGGAATACTCTTCAAAATCCAAACTAAATTTTCATTGCTAATGGAGGATTTGACATGAGGTTCTCTGTCTGTCCTAAACATGCCTCCATTGACCATTAGGGAGTTCCTGTTGTGAGCTGTTTTTCTAGAGCGATGTTGAGTCTGTCCTAAGGAATCTAGATTCTCGTGCCAGATCCCTGTGACAAAAACCTGGCTGGAGCCAGAGGAAGGTACACTTGTCAGTAGCACAGCCAACTGCCTTATTCAGGAATTGAGCCCATGAACTTGGCTCCTTTAGAAGCACACAGTCCCTAATCAGTCTCATGCCCACACTGAGGAGTGTCAATGTGATAGTAATTCACAGCAACAGAAGCTCATATGTGCAAGATGCAAGACACTTTTTCTGTGCAGTGGTTGCAGACTTTAGCATCTGAGTCAAAGTGTGAAATCTGGGGTCCTAAGGACTCCAAATAATATGAAAGTTTATTTATCAGTCCCTAGGGTTGGTCTGCCAAAGGAATTGAGCTGAGTATGAGATCAGTCTGTGACCAAAAAGCATGTCAGGATGAAGGGTGGCAAAACACCCCCAACCCCCAACACTGTGGAAATCTTCTATATTAACCCAGTTCTAAAGAGTATGGGCAAAGTTGATCATTAAGAGAAATTTGCAAGCAAAGAAATTGTTGGGATCATTGAACACACTTGCTTGTCAGTCATTTCTGGCTCATTATCTTACTTGGTATGTAAGTACTTAACTAGAGCAAGATGCTGCAGTTAAAAATTTAATCCCCAAATGGGCATTGTTTTGTCCCACTGCTCCAGACTCTCTAACCTCACCCTGTGTTTGCCTGACACAATATTTAGCCAATTTGTGTAAATGATCTGGAAAACCCACTTTAAACCACCTGCCCTGCTTAGAAAGGATCAGCAGCAACATCAGAAGAAAAGGTGATGCATTAATTGATACTAACTTAATGGATGTGTAGAATGACTGGCTGGTTAGAGCTTGAAAGGGCATTAACATTCCTTTCTCTATTTTTATAGTAGCCTACATTTATGGATAGTAGTTTGAAAATGCACCCTCCCCTGCAAAAGACTTATGGAATCTACTGTTCTTGTTTTTTGTTGTTGTTGTTTGTTTGCTTTTTTGTTTTTAAATATTTGGTTCTGTTGTGAAAGACAGCTTTTTGTGTATGTGAGAAGCAAGAGCCCAATGACTTCACATTATTGCCACTTTTTCCACTTTAATTTTTCCCAGAGAAATGATAACATAAGTGCTTTTGATAAAAAACCCCAGTTAACAGTCACATGAACATCACTTGCTTGTGTCAAGCCTCATTTTGTGTTCTCACTTAGAGTTTCTCAATGTGTGGTCCAGGGAACAAATCCATCAGAACTGTTTATGGTAAACAACTGGAGGTGAGGGATTCTGCATGTTTAGTGAGTTGCCTGGGTGATTTTAATGCACACTGAATTTTGAGAACCACTGCCTTAGGAACCTTCCCAGAAAGTCACAGCCGTGTGTTTTTCATAGAAAAATAGAAGAGAAACCATCTTCCCTACTACTGCAGGGGGCCGCACAGACCTTTCTGAGCTCCCCTTCTGTCCCCACTTCTGCTTCCAATGTTCTCTTTCCACTTTGGAGCCAAACTTCCTCGTCAGTCAGTACTTGTTCTGATCCTGCTTGTAGTGGGGCAACTGGAAAACCCAGCTGGTCTATAACCCTGTGTTCAGAGTACCATTTCTATGAGAAATAGTGCAAAGGCATTGATATAAGTGGGGTGAGGGCTTCAGCCTGGATTTCTAGTTGAGGATCCAGCTGAAATAAGTGCTCTTACAGGGAGCATGCAGCCTACCTGTAACTGTTTTCCTTGTCTAGGTTACTCTTGCGGCCAGTACTGTGAAGCAAGTGGTGAAGCGGCTTTCAGCTTCATTTCAGCTGTTAAGTCCCAGCCAAGCATTTCTGTTGTACCAGCAGTTTTACATCCTCAAGAGCCACCCACAGTACAGCAAGACTTTAGCTGAGTATATCAGGAGTAACTACAGAGAAGGATTCAAGTAAGACGTCTCAAACTAACCTGTAGTAAAATCCATTCATTTATCATGCAAAACTGCAACATGGCCAAATATTTAGAAGATTAAGTGACAATGGGAAATTCTATTTTTGCTTTTCATAATATTTCACTTTGATCTGTAGTAAGGTAGGATTTGGGGCAGCTCTAAGAACCATCACCATTTGAAATATATTCCCAGGCCAGAAAAGACTAGTGAAACATAAAACTCTCTTTGAAGAACTGTTTCTCGCTCATTGTCTTTATTGCAGCCAGCGGAAGTTGTAATGATTTTAACATGCTGTGAGAATTAAGAGTAACAAACCCTGCTGAAAGGGATGAAAATTTATGGATTGTGGCTTCAACGGAGTCATTGGGGAAGAAATTAATAAAGGAGAAAAAAAACAAATGAATGCATGTAGTTATGAGGTTTTTGTGCTTGCTTGTTTGTTTCATTTCCCCCCCTTACTCTCAGTCACAAAGCAGTAAGAAGGAGCAGTAGTAGCAAGCATTGGTTTCATCAGCTAGTTGTTCTGCACCTCAGGGGTTCCTACTTCTATTTATAGGCTGGCAAAGCCAAGTGCACTTAGCCCTACAGCCCTGCATCAGCTCTGGTCAAGCAAAAAAGCAGGCTGTGTCTGACTTAAAATGAAAAGGCTACAGCAGGTGTAGGTTTGCTTCCAGTTTGCATGGAGATATAAAAGGATGTGGAGGTATACATTATGACATTAGACTGGCTTTAAAAAACAAATTAGCCCAATTTGTGAATTCTGTTTCCCCCCTCCCGAACCCCAGTGGTTTAACAACATAGGTTCGACTCTGGCTCCTGTAAAAGGGTTTTGTTTGGCCTGCTCTGAGTTGGTTCAAACAACCCATTTTTTTCCTTACTTTTTTTTTGAGGTAAAATTCATATATCATGAAATTCACCATTTAAAACATTTTAAAGTGTACAATTCAGTGGCTTTTAATAGATTTTGCAATGTTGTGCAACTACAACTCACTGTCAAATTGCAGAACATTTTCATCACCCCCAAAGAAACCTGGTACCCATGAAGCAGCTCTCCCCTCCACCAGCCCCTGACAACCCCAGTCCACTTTCTGTCTCTCTGGATTTGCCTGTTCTGGACATTTCATATCAATGGACTCATGCAATATAGCCTTTTGGGTCAGGCTTCTTTCACTCAGCATAATGTTGCCAAGGTTCACCCATGTTGTAGTGTGGATCACATAACCCAATTTTAAAAAATGACTTATGCACATTTAAAAATCAGATGTATTGGCAAAAATGGCATCATACTTCTACATGACAACAGTTGGCTGGAGCTCAATAGCAGCTACTCTTCTGGGTGATAACATACTGTTTACTTTGCTACCGGCTCCTCTCTCTATTCTTAATCTTAACCTTACTCCTAATATGTTACCCTGCAGGCATTTCAATTTGTGCCCTTTGTTTTAAACTACTGATTTTCAGCTTGTCGTGCATTAGAATCACCAGAATGGCTATTTAAAAAATGCTGATACCCAGGTCTCACGTGTAGAAATTCTGTTCAATTTTTCAAGGGGGCGGGGGGATCTTGGTATAGGCATTAGAAGAGAGAGAGACTCTCTAGGTAATTCTAATATGCACCCAGGCTTGAGAACCGATTTTTTAAGCCATCCCAGGGAATGGTTAAAAGTTTAATCACTCTTGTCTCATCCCTTGGCCCGTGGGGGTGAACCTTGCTCTTCCTTCTTGACTTGGCCCTGTGGTCACCACAGTTTTGACTCTTTAACTCCCTACTGTATGTTGCCTGGGAAACAAGAGGCAGAGGCCTCTGTTCACACTGTGGTGAGGACAGTCCTGGCTTCCTTTTTTAATGCTTTGAAGACTGATACATTATTAATGAAATTTACTTTCTTGGCCGAAGTGAAGTGCTTCAGTGAGCTGAAAGGCACACACATCAGATATCTTCTGGGTCACAAGTGGGGGAGGTTGGAGGGCTGAGGACGCTGGCTGAGTCTTGTGGTTGAGATTCTTACACCTAACAGCTCTACACCAGCGAGTATGTACATACTGATGTGACCAGAGTGAAAATTCTTGTTTTTGAAGCTATTTTTGTTTCTTTTCATGATTGCAGGTACTTTATTCATATGCCAGCCTTGGAAAAAAGGCTCCCATTGTGTTACCCTATTACCCAGTTTATCACTCAACGTTTTCAAGGAGTTCTAAAATTGGTTAAACAATGTGTGAAGTGTTAAAAATTGAGTATAAAATGTTAATCAAAAGTCAACTTAATATTTATGAGAAATATTTTTTTGACTTATTTACTACCTGGCTAACCCCATGTCCTATAAACAAAGATTTTATTTGAATGTTCCATCAACCCCTCGCTGAGAGAAGTTTTTAAAGATTTTTATCTGTCACAAAAAAGAAACTTTACTACATCGACATATATAAAGTGGTGTTAAAAACTAGTGTTTCTCTAAAAAAAAATCTAAAGACATAAAAAACTATAAAGGGAACAGAAGTCTGTGGAGAGCAAATGGAGCAGGTGCACCTCGATGAGTTTTGTGGGCGCAGTAATGGTGAGTGGCATGGAGCCACTGAACTATCCGAAGATAGGCTGTTGTGGGGAGTGTCAATTACAGAGTGATCATTAGAGAAATGCTGAGCAATAGGACAACACTGTTGCTCTCCCCCTCTAAAAATTCTAGTGACTTAAGTATTCATGGAAGAATGAGCAAAAGCACACCGGCATAAGGAATGTCAGTCCCTCGTTTATCGTGGAGAAAGAAGCTCAGACTTTCTTCAACAAAACTAAAGGCATTTGCCACTCTGTTTCAGGCACCTCTGTACTAATGTAAGCAGTTGAGTCACGTGTCTGTGAAAGAGAGATTGCCTGTACTTATGATCTCCCAGCCACTAAAAGCATGTCTTTACTGTATCTTATGACAATAAACTAATTTAATCCAACAAAAACTTAATTTTGGTATCACTGTAAGGTATTATTGAATTTGAGCTTCTAAGAACTTAGCATGACTTGAGGGAGTATCAGAGAGAAATTCAGCTCCAAAGAAAGAACCCCCAAGCCAGATTTGCCTGTGCTATGCAGTGGAGACAATTAAACTCACTCAGGGCATCTTATTTCTGGTTCTGCCTGAGCCACTAAGCAGTTATTTGACCTTGAACAAATCAGGTAACCTTTCCAGGCCTCCTCGCAATATGGAAGGGTGGGAATAGAAGGTCTCCAAGTTCTCCTGCAGCTCCAATATTCTCTGCCTGTGATAAGACACTTCTCAACACCCTGTAACAGAGCAGTGCATTCCTCTGCCGTCCTGGCTCAGTGGATGACTTCACACTGATTCCAAACAATCCTGCCTTCTTTAGACCAAACATTTCCCTTTCAGCCTCACTGACATCACCCTGTACACTGTCCAGGCCTTCCCCACCATCACCCGTCAAGGACAAGTTTTCTACTCTCTGACCTGGGGGCATGAAGGGGAACAAAATGGTGTTTATGAGTGTCCCAGGCTGTGATATGAGAGATTATTCCAAAGAGATGGTCAATCAGAAGATTATGAAAATATTCTTGGGACACAGGCAAGCAATACTTCAAACTGGACAAATGGTAGGCAGTGGATTGACTACTGGTGAATGGTGGAACCTACAGAATGGCAATGAATCAACTCAGCTCTGTTGGCTTCTAAGCAGTGCCCTGGCTCTGGGCTCTGGAGAGGGCTTGGGGTTTCTCGCCCATGTGACTTTTTGTCAATGTCGCCTCTTCCCTCCCAGTGTTGTGTTTGCTATGAGAACACATCTTACCTAATATCTGGGAGCAAATGCTCTGTACCTGAGTCTTTCTATGTCAGTAGCTTTTTTGGTTGAATATCTGTCACCTTGATTTTCTTATGACACATGTCTATTCATTTGTACAGTCTGGGATGGGGGAAGGGGTACCCAGAAATTAATACTTTGAAGGGTTATCCTGTCACAATTCTTTTCTGTTGTGTTTTTGCATTGCTGCCCAAACCCAGGAAATCACTAAATACTCCATCTCTATTAGTGATCAGATACATCTGATTGACAAAACATTGACCTCAACCACAAAGTGATTATTTTTCAGGAAACTTAACTGTAGAAAAATTTTGAATATGAAAAATCACATAAAGATCACTCCAAAATAAGCACATATAGCCAGTTTTCAGGCTGGTTTCAAGATTCTGGACTTTGACCACCTTTATAATACAAGCATTGCCATTCACCACACCTCCACTAAGAATAAAGTCACTCACAGAAGTCAGCTCTACCATTAAAAACAAAGGAAAAAAATATATCTCTCTCAAAGATTATATATAAAACAAAGATTACATATATGTAAGAACATGGGTATTTTGAGGCCAAAATGGCTGAGTTTCCATCTGAGCTCTGCATTACTTTTGGACCTTGGGAAATTACTTCACATCTCTAAGTTTCACTCAGTACAAAGATCCTAACAATCCCACATGGTTGCTAGAAGATTTAAATAAAAAGATTGGTAGAGCACATAGAATGGTCTCTGGAGTATAGTAAGGAATCAGTAAATGGTATTCATTATTATGATTATTAAGATAATACCAAAGCTGGCTGAGAAATTAGGGGTTAATAAATACTGCCCTTATTTTTTTGGACCAATCCGGGGACACAGAGAACCCTTGATCTCTATAGTATTGAAGAACAGATTCATTTAATTATTAAATTGAAAATCCAGTTTTCCATTAGCAGGAGTGTGATTTAATTGACACGTGCCTATTCCTACCGGTCACCACCATGAAGGACTGTTGGCTCTAATTGACACTATCAGTGCAGGAGCTATGTGGGAAGTATTCTTCCCAAGTATAGACAGAAAGGTTTTTAGTCATATTAACTTTCTTCAGCCTTTGACTTGAACAGTTAATTACTGACAAAACTGCTGCAGCCATTCTGTACTTACAGAGTTCCTAATTGATCCACAGGTAGTGTGAGAGGAAATAAATGAAGAGTTTCTTCATTTTATTGAAATCTAGATAATCTTCATACTATGTAAAGAGGGAAAAGCTTGACATTCCTACAATTGATAATCTTATTTTACATGTTTCCATTTGACTCTCACTCACTGGCAATACCACTTTCAATTGTGTGCAGGACTGTGTGGGAGTACAGCAATAAATGTGCTATAAGGCATTTGATAAAAGTGGTCTAAGCTTGTTAACAGTGATATGCTCCAATGTGTGGCATTATCTTTTCTGTTTCTGAGGTTAGAATCAATGGTTTCGTATTTAATAATGTGACAAATATTGAAGAGATGCTGGAAATTTCTTGAAGGAATGAATTTGATGGGAATTTTTGAACATATTTCAATCATGTTAACTCATCGTCTGATTTCTCTTCGTTCATTGTACTTAATTCTAAAATGCAATACCAACCTGTAAGGTCCACTCGGATTCAGCTCTGACTCTCCGTAGGAGGGAGACAGTCAGCAATTCTCCATCCCATCAGACCAAGCACTCTTCTGTCTACATAGCTGTGCCTTTTGGATCTGAAGCTTTTCTTATTTTGGGGAGGGCAGAGTGACTCCATGGCTAGAAATCTGGGTAGTTGTAACTTGTGGCTAAGAGTACAGATGCTGTGTCAGAAATACCTTGTTTTGACCCTTGCCTGCCTGCTTACTTGTCATTAGACTTTTGACAAGTAATGTATTTGACCCCTTTTAGAACTTTAGTTTTATCAATTATAAAGTAATAAAAAGTCAACCTTGAGAGTCTTTGTGAATATTCATTCATTTTTATATAAACAAATAGTTCTGTGGCTAGTATATACTGGGATGAACCACATGGAATTGCCATCTTCAAGATCAAACTTATCAATATCCATAATTTCATATGGTTCAAACAATAAAAACCCCTCCATAAGTGGTAGCTATTATATTAATGGAAACACTAAACTTGCTTAATGAACTTCTACTTTAAATATATATCTTTTAGTCTGATTTCCCAGATAGTATGGCACCTTGTTATAACATGGCTTATTCCTGCACAGATTTGGATAAACCTTAAATCAAATCATACAGTTCAATTACAAATTATTGAGTGCGCATAACATAGTTAAATATGTTCAAAATAGAATTTTAAATTTTCTTGACCACTTTCCCCAACAGTAAAAATCTGTTCTTCTACCAGTCTTCAAGTCAGTAAATGTTACTTCATTGACTCCACTGCTAAAGACAGAAACTCTGTGTTATCTCTTTTCTTTTCATTCCCCAGATGTAATCCATTATTATTAGAAATTCCCTCAAAATGTATTTATCTACTTATTTCCCATAATTACTGCTCCTACCCTCATCTAAACCTCCATTACCTGACTGCAATAGCCTATTTAAGTGGCCCTCCTTTCACCTTTGACACCCACAATCTTTTCTCTAAGGTGAGTGGAGTGATCTTTCAAACAAGAAAATCAATACAAGTTCTGATTTAAAACTTCCATTGCTTCCCATCACCCAGGATAAAACCCAAAGTCTTTACCATGGCCTTCAAGGCCCTTCATGACCTGGCTTCTGACTACCTAGCTCTGTGATCTGACCCAATCATTCTTGTCTTCACTCACTACTCCCCAAACACATTGGCCTTTAAGGTTTTCCTTCAAAAGAATGCCCCAGCTTCTTTCAGGCCCTGGAAATTTGAACTGGCAAATGCTCCTTGCCGCCCCCAACCCCCCGCCCCCGGGTCTTCAAACGTGACTTCAAAGAAAATGGCTTTGATCACTCCAAAGTATCCTCCCATCCACCTCTATCACCTTATAATGTTTAAGTTTACCTGCTTACACTTTGCAATGTGAGAATTTAAGAGTGTAAGTTCCATGAAGTCTGGCCCTTATCTGTCTTGTTCAAAAGTATTTGCCCACACCTGCAATAGTGCCTGGCACAAAGCGCCTCTTCTACACTGAGTGAAGGAATGGACAAAGGACACCCTTAGGCAGAGACCACAGAGAGAAGCACCAGCCCCAACTGCCACCTGACAGCAAACTCCTGAGAGACCCAAAGTGAGACCTGTAGAAGAGCTACCCAGCCAATCCACAGTATTGTGAGGTGTAATACAGGAGTGGGTTTTTCAGCTTTATTGAGGTAACTGACAAATAAAATTGTAAGATATTTAAAGTGTACAATGCTTCACACTGTGAAAGGATTTCCCTCTGTTGAATTAATCCATCACCTTGCATATTTATGTTTGGGTTTTTTTGTGTGTGT